CTGTGTCAGTCTGTGTCAGTCTGTGTCAGTCTGTGTCAGTCTGTGTCAGTCTGTGTCAGTCTGTGTCAGTCTATGTCTGTCTGTGTCTGCCTGTGTCTGTGTCTGTCTGTCTGTGTCTGTCTGTGTCTGTGTCTGTCTGCCTGTGTCTGCCTGTCTCAGTCTGTGTCTGTCCGTGTCTGTCTTTGTCAGTCTGTGTCAGTCTGTGTCAGTCTGTGTCAGTCTGTGTCTGTCTTTGTCTCTCTCTCTCTCTCTCTCTATCTATCCCCCCCTCTCTCTCTCTCTCCCCCTCTCTCTATCTGTCTCCCTCCATCTCACACTAACCCTCCGAACCGGACCCCCCCCCATCTCTTTCGGCTCCATCCCAGCCATCATCACCCTGCAAACGTGCTCGAGACTGGCGGGCGACGAGCCGCTCAAGGCCTCGCTCATCGTCGACGCCCTCGGCGTGGCCCCGCTGCAGCATGTGCTCGGTGCGGCGGCCGCCGTTCGCCAAGACCGCCGCATGGACGCCCTGGTGGCCTTCAGCCAGGGGTATCTGCGCGAGGGCCGCTCGACGCTGGCCCTGCTGGAGGGCATCAGCCGGGCGGTGGCACAGTCGATGCCGGTTGGTCTGGCCGGCGCGGCGCCGCTGGCCGACGCGGCTTCCACCTACGGCGTGCACTATGCCGGCATGTCGAACTTCGAGCGGGCCGCCCTGGCCAAGCGCCTGGCGCAGGCGGAGAAGCGCCTGGCCGCCGGGGCCAGCGAGTTCCTCCAGCTGATGGATGTCCTGTCGTACTGGCTGCAATTTGTCCAGCTCCAGTCCACCTGATGCAGCCCCGTCCCCTGTCCTTGTCCTGGTGGGGCTCAGTTACCTGCTCTCGGGCTATGCATTCCCCCCCCTCCCCCCTCTCCTGCCTCTCTCCTCCCCCTGCGCCTCCGGTTACAGCCCACACGGGAGCCGGGTTCACATTGGGAGCATGAATATATTGTCAAACAAGCATACACGCTGGCCGAGCGCCCGGGCCGTGTGCGTCTGCCGGGGGGGGGGGGGGGG